TGGGAAAGGGAAGGTAGCTGGAAAGAACCCCATCCATGTATGTGCTCCACAGATGGGGAATACACATGGCCATCTTAATCCAGAATGGAGGAATAGTTTAAACGAGTATACAGCTGAGATCCAGACTGGACAATACTCGCTAGAAGCGTCCCCGAGGTCTCTGTGAATGAGTAAAAATAATTATGGGCAGGATCATTTTTGGTTTGAAACAGAGATACATTTTGAGGGGAAGTGGTTGGATATAGGGTTGCCGAACTGAAGACCTTCCAGAATTACTACTGATCTCCAGACTACAGAGATCAGTTCCCCTGGAGAAAATAGCTGCTTTGGAGGGTGGACTGGATGGCATTCTATCTGGCTGAGGTCCCTCAAATCCCCAAACCTCGTTCTCCCCAGACTCCACCCCCAGATCTCCAGGAATTTCCTAACCCGGAGTTGACAAACTTATTTGTATACCGGTTCTCTGCTCAGAAAAACAAATTCCTCTAGAACAGAATGAACGAACGTGGTTTCAAAACTCTCCCAACACCCTTTCGAACACAGTTGTCGTTCCAAATCATGATATCAAATAGAGGATTACCACAGGAATCTTGAACTGGAGTCCCAACGATAGCTGGAATCAGGGGTCATTTCCTGCAGGAGCGCACAGGAGCAGAGCTCCGGCAGTAAAGAGCCCAGGGGGCGGGCACATACAACAAGCCCCGCCCCCTGCTCCCGGCAGCCCTCAGTCAGAGCAAGAAGCAGCCAGGTAAGTTGCAGAGCCCCCACCCCCTGGTCCAAAACAGTCCAGTGGCACCTTTAAGACCAAGTTTTATTCAGGTACAAGCTCTCCCTCCTCTGCGAGGACAGATCTGCGCGGCGGCGCCCCCCCCCCCCAACAGCTAGCAATCCAAAACAGTCCAGTGGAGCCTGAGCGGTGGGTGTTGCCTTCTGACACACTTCCGGTGATGTCAGGGGGTGAGGCATATGCAAATAAGTTATGCTAATGAATTATGCTAATGAGCTCCTGCACCTCTTTTTCTACGAAATGACCCCTGGCTGGAATTATGTGTGCGAACCACAACAAAGAACACTCAACCCAATGAGTTTGTTGGCCTGCTCCTGATCGGGGGAGGGGAGACCAAGTTTATGTGACAGTCCAGATCATGTGCTGGATTTCGCAGACCAGCTCTTGCTGGAGAAAAACCCTGCTGTTAGTACAACAAACCCACAGAATCCAACCCAGCCAAGTCTGATCCAAGACCGGAGATACCAGTTCTGTTACTTTTCCCTGGATCACAGCTCTGGCTACTTGGATAATGAGGATTTTTTTAAAAAATCACAAAGCCAGAATCTATGATATTTCGTTGAACATTAAATTCCCCCCGCTCCTGCGATTGTTTTAAAATATTTTCCCCGGTAGCTCCCGGTTGCAATGTTTTCTGCGCGAAGAGAGTTTCATACAGAATGACAGATTGGGGGAGGCGTCGGGGAGCCCTGTGGGGTAATAAAAAAGAGAAAGAGAGAGAGAGAAATGGAAGGGAAGGGAAGGAAGAACAAATGTACAGCTAGTGGTAGATCGGTTGTTCCCACCGTTGAAGTGGGGGATTTGTGCATCTTTAACAGGGCCCTGGCTGAAAACAGACTCTGCAGAAGATGGCGTGGAGTGAAAAGCAGGAGGATAATTAGGCTTCTGTGTATGGGGAAAAACAGTTCAGCAAGAACGAAGGGCAGAAATGTGACAGAGATCCAGGACTGGAGCAATTTGGAGGGTACCAATGTAACTTGGACTGCTAGTACAAGAGCCAATTTGGTGTACGTTGGACGAGGATGTCGGAGACCTGGGTTCCAATCCCAACCCAGTGTAGAGAAGAAGAAGAAGAGAAGAGATTGGATTTATACCCCGCCCTTCACTTGGAGTCTCAGAGCGGCTTACAAACTCCTTTCCCTTCCCCTCCCCACAACAGACACCCTGTGAGGTGGGTGGGGCTGAGAGAACTCTGACACAAACTGCTCTTTCAGAAACAGCTGTGCCAGAGCTTGTGTGACTGACCCAAGGTCACATCAGCAGGTGCAAGTGGAGGAGTGGGGAATCAAACCCAGTTCTCCCAGATTAGAGTCCGCACACTTAACCACTACACCAAACTGTAAAAACTGAATGATCTTGGGTCCATCTTAACCACACAGACTGGTTATGAGGATAAAACGGGGGGTGGGGTCGGATGCCTCCTGCCCCAGATCTAGGAAACAGGGATTCAAATCCAGACCCTGACAGGTTCTGTGACGTGGCCACAGGCAAGCCGCTCTTTCCCAGCCTCAACTGCCTATCCACAAAGTGGGGAGCACCAGCCATCGGCCCCCAGTGCTGAAAATGGACACACCGTTTCAATGGAACTCGCCTGCAAGTCTGTAACTCCCTGATGAATGCAAACTCCAGAGTCCACTGCTGGCCACCTGCGCATGTCTCGAGTCCCTCGTTCACTCTCGTCCACTTTTGCCGCTGCGTCGCAGGGTTGTTGTACAAGGCAAAACGCAGAAATGTGATAAAGCGCCAGACACTTTGCTTTTCCGTACAAGGCTGGCTCCAGAGGGCGTCGGGGCTGGGTATTTCCCGCGGACCGGCGTCTGACAAAAGACCCGCTGCCCCAATGCCACCGTTCTGTTCTCACCCTGCAGAAGCCAGCGGTGGCGCGAGAGAATTTCCGTCTTGAAGGTTCAGGGAAGGATCCCCCCCCCCCCCCCGAGACCACCCCGTCCTAGTGCCGGACGTGCTCTCGTGGTCCGACACATGCTCATGAACAAGGATTCCCACAACCACTGGTGTTAAAAGAATTAATCAGGGAGATTTATTGAAGTATCAAAGGTGGTTAAAAGGCAGACATAGATATTTACATATATATTAACTTTTGGGCACGGGGGAAACAGTCTTGGGCTGCGGAGGAACAAGCCCCCCGCGCACTCCCGACCCCCAGTTATATATTAATTATTATATTTTCTTCTTCTTTTTTTTTTTAAATCTCCCCTTCCAAGACACAGGGTTGGTATGGGGGGGTGGGCAGCTACTGGCACAAATGAGAAAAATCACTGAGGGCGGGAAGAACTGGGGGGTGGGGGTCACCAGAAAGGAGTGGGGAGGGCGACCGGTGGCAGCGACTCCTTTTTTGCGGCAAAGCACGGTAGCGAAGTGGCCGACCCGGGGCTGGCCGAGGCAGCTGCCTCGAGGGCAATGGTGGAGAAAGACAGCTCCACGGGGCCACTCCCCAGCTGCAGACGCCTTGAGTATTGTCTCCCCGGCGGTCGATCGCAGCTACCTCTGGAGTGGCTGGAGCAGCTCGTTTGTAAAAATGGTCCCTTCCATCTGGGGTGGTCAAAATCATCGAAACGGGATCAAAATGGACACGGAGGGAGGAGGGGGAAAGGGCCTATTGCTGAGCCCCTCACTCTTCTTTTTTTTTTTTTGCAGAACTGCTGTTCCAGCTGCTGTCTAGGAACGTGAGCAGAGAGGGAGGAGCGGAGAGAATTGTGAGCCACACCGGGGACCTCCTCTTCCGGTCTGGGGACGTGATGATCTAGTGTGCTGCCACCAGCACGAATGGCCAGGAGGACGAGTTTAAGCCGGCCACGGTAAACCTGCACACGCCAATTTTTTAAAAAATCTCTCTCTCCCCCACCATTGAAGCTGGGCCCGTAGATCCGGGTGGCAGCACCTTCGCCATCTGATACGGGGTGAATTGCCAGAGCTCTGGGGTGGGGCTGTGGCTCAGTGGCAGAGCAGATGTTCTGCATGCAGAGGGTCCCAGGTTCGATCCCTGGCATTTCCGACTACAGGGTGTCAGATAGCAAGAGTTGCGGGAAGACCTTTGTGAGCCTGGGACCTTGGAGGGTCACTGCCAGAAGAAGAAAATACTGAGCTGAAAGAGGACCCAAAGGTCTCGCTTGGTATCAGGCGGCCTCACGACATACACCACTGGGCTCTGGGTCCCATCCCCTGCTCCTGGCTGAGCACGTCACATAACAAGGACGACAGAGACAGACAGAGAACACCCCCCCTTCCTCTCCCCCCTCCCCCACCCCCCAAACTATCATGGCTTTGAAGAAAAACAGGGAGTCCCACCTGCTGCTTAAGGCCCAACGCAGCCACCATGGCCTGGCCTTAAAAGGGAAAGCGTGTGGCCGAGAGGAACTCCAAGCCGGGTTGTCCCGAAGAGAATTTGGGACAACTTCAGCCCTGCACTCCCACCGGACCCCCCTGCCCTCCTCCACATGGAAATAGACCTGAGGGGTCCTAACTCACAGATCAGCTCTCCCCCAGGGTAGACAAGTTCTCCCCGGGGCGACCAAAGGTGCCCCGGAGCAAATATGTTAATACCCCCCTCACCTCCCTCCCCCCAAAAAAAAGATATTTTGAAACTCAGTGCTAATATCTGAAAAAAATCAGAGCTAATGAACCACAGTCCCCCTCGGGGGCTAGGTCCTTGTTACGATACCCCCGCTTCACCACCCCTCAAAATCTTGGCAGCCTGGGGCCCCCTTGCGCCTTCTGTCTTCCTACCTTCTGCAGGGTTAACTTTTGAGCTATGTACAAAGGAACAGGGCCCTCCCCTATAGCTCTGCCTCCCCAAGGGAAAAAGGGGTGTGGGTATCCCCATGCTCTGTTTTACGGAAGCCGAGCCACGCACACACGCACTCATCCACGCACACGCCTCTCCCCAGAATTAAAGGACGTCACTTCCTGTTCAGAGCGCATGGGACAGCCAATGGCAGAAGGAGGTGGAGCTTCATGGCTGGGGGTAGGGCTAAAGTCCTCGGTTTCAAAAATAAAACCGAAAAAAGTGGTGGCCGCATGTTGGTTTCTTACACAATAGATTTTTTTTTTTAGATTTTTGTTGTTGTTGTTTTTCCCCCCCCTCCCGCCCCCTTTCTTTTCAAATCCACCCCTTTCCCAACCCAACCCATCCCCTCCGGCAAGAGCGGCAGCCTTCCCTATAAACCTTTAGCTTCCGGAATTCCTTTTCGGCCGCTTCCCCCAAAACCTTCTGTCCCTGGCAACCCTTCCCACGCCCCCTTGCCCCCCTCCCACATCCCCGGCTTAGATGAAGAATTCTTCCTTGCGCTTATGGCCGTCGCCGCCGTTGAGGAAGGCCTCGCGGGCTTCTCCGTGCTCGTCCAAACCACTTGCCTCGTGGGTCAGGTAGGAACCTATTTTTAAAGGAGAAGAAGAGTGAGTATAATATTACTTAGCATGCATACAGAGTGCTCAAATGGCTCAAACTGCTCAAACTGCTTCACAAATGGCTCAAACTGCTCAAACTGCTTCACAAATGTTACCTAACTGCAGTCCTTTCAATAATGTTGCCCAGCATTGTTATGGGGCAAGAGAATACACAGGCAGCTGCCGCCTTAAACTTTCTCAGGGCATTGGTCCATCAAGGTCGGCTTTGCCTACTCAGACTGCCAGCGGCTCTCGGGGGTCTCAGTAGGGTTGCCAGGCGCAATCGTCGCGCCGGCAGGGGGGATCTGGGGGGCGGTCCGGGAGTAGGCGGGGATGTCCCCGACACGATGACATCATGCAGAAGTGACATCATGTCGGTGATGTCGGGGGCAACGCTCTGCTTTTTGGGGCAAACTCTACAGTTAAAACTGCGCTCAGACCGTAGAGTTCTGCCCAAAAAGCAGAGCATCACATTACGACATCGCCGACACGATAGTGTCACCTCCGCATGATGTCATTGTGTTGGGGACGTCGCCACGTGATTTCGCTGTTCGGGGGCAGGGCTTCCCCCACTGGCCGGTGGCAGGCAAAAGCCCCAAAATTGGGGGAACCCCCATCCGGACCAGGGGTCTGGGAACCCTAGGTCTCAGGCAGAGGCCTTTCACATCACCTACTACCTGGTCCTTTTACCTGGAGATGGCAGAGATTGAACCTGGGACCTTCTGCATGCCAAGCAGCTGGGTAAAGCGAAACCTGGCCTTACCCCTTGCTTGATGGAGGGGAATGACGTAAGAGCAGCCATGCTGGATCAGACCCAAGGTCCCTTTAAAAGAAAGGTGAAGGTTCCCTTGCCCAAAAGCCAGTCGAGTCCGACTCTAGGGTTGCGGTGCTCATCTCCGTTTCAAAGCCGAGGAGCCAGCGCTGTCCTAAGACGTTTCCCTGGTCATGTGGCCGGCATGACTAAGCACCAAGGCGCACGGAACGCTGTTCCCTTCCCACCGAAGGGGTACCTATTTATCTACTTGCCATTTCTTGCTTTCGAACTGCTAGGTTGGCAGGAGCTGGAACTAGAGAGGGGAGCTCACTCCGTCATGCGGCACACTCGGGTCTCGAACTGCTGAACTACCGACCTTCCACAGTTCAGCGTCTTAACCACTTGAGCCACCGCAGCTCCAAGGCCCCTTTAGGCTTATCGTATTTCCTACAGTGGTCAGCAAATTGCCACTGGGAAGGTCCCAAGTCTCGATCAGTGTTCGGCAAGGGGGGGATCCAATTCCCTCCCCCGTCACCAAGCCCGGGCGGTTCACTACCCACATTGGAGCTTGGAGCAGTTGCCAGCATCTGTAGGTGCTGGAGCCAGGCCTGGAGCCGTCCCTAGCATCACCTGCTGCTGTGGCCAGGCCCGGAGCCATTCCCAGGTAAGTGCATTTTCCACCCATGCGAGGCAATGCTTTTTTATCTTCCCTTCAATTTGGAGGGGATTTAAATTCAAATTGGGGGGAGTTTGAAACCCCCCCAATGTATTTTTGTAACATTTCATATTTTTCTGCAAACCTGGGGGGGGGGGTGTCCCCCAAGTTTGCAGAAAAATCTGTTTATCGTCAGTGTGGCCCCGACCTGTGGATTTAGATATCCAAAGATGGCAGCCAGATTTTGCTATTAGATAGGAGCTGCGGTGGCTCAAGTGGTTAAGACGCTGAACTGCAGGCTGTGGAAGGTCGGTAGTTCAACAGTTCGAGACCCGGGTGCCGCATGATGGAGTGAGCTCCCATCTCTAGTTCCAGCTCCTGCCAACCTAGCAGTTCGAAAGCAAGAAATTGCAAGTAGATAAGTAGGTACCACTTCGGCGGGAAGGTAACAGCGTGCTGTGTGCCTCGGTGTTTAGTCATGCCGGCCACATGATCACGGAAACGTCTTCGGACAGCGCTGGCTCTTTGGCTTTGAAATGGAGATGAGCACCGCAGCCCTAGAGTCGGACTCGACTGGCTTTCGAGCAAGGGAACCTTTACCTTTACTTTATACAGATGACACACCACCTATGTAGAAGAAGAAGAGGAGGAGGAGGAGGAGGAGGAGGAAGAGGAGATTGGATTTGTACCCCACCCTTCACTACCCAAAGGAATCTCATAGTGGTTTACAATCTCCTTTCCCTTCCCCTCCTTACAACAGACACCCTGTGAGGTCAGTGGGACTGAGAGAGCTCTTTCGAGAACTGCTCTTTCCGGAACATCTCTGAGAGAACTTGTGACCGACCCAAGGTCACACCAGCAGCTGCATGTGGAGGAGTGGGGAAATCAAACCCGGCTTTCCCAGATTAGAGTCCACACTCCTATCCACCGCACCAAACTGGCTCCACGTACATGGAGGCTCCATTGAGCCATCAAGGCTAACAGCAGCAGATGGACCTGTCCTTCACGGGTGCGATCAATCCTCCCCTCCTACGTCTTTGCACTCAGTGAACGCCACAAATTAAATCGCGCCCGTTGTGCGGAGAAGTACTTTCTATCGTCTTTCCTGAATCAACTGTCAATCATTGTCATCAGCTGACCTTGAGTCCTAGTGTTAGGAAAGAAAGGAGGGGGGACCGCCTCTGTCCACTCAATAGCCTAATTGATGGATTGGGGGGGGGGGCCAGGAAGGAGAAGCCGAGGACTGGAGTGGGGGGTGGGAGCCCTTTCCCACCCATCAGATTTGACAAAGACTTTTGCCGATAGGGTCGATGCCAGAGACCTTATCTTATATCCATAAATAAACCCACAGACCAAACAACGGCTGGTTCACCATCACGGACCAGGATCAGAATTCCCCGCTTCATCTTACAGCAGGGGCTTTGAGAAGGCTGGGAAAAGGAACCCTCTCTTTAACCACTCCGATGGCACGGGGGTTAAAGAGGGACTTCCAAACTGAGCAGTCTTCATCCCATGCCATAGGGAAGGCTGACCATGACTCCATGCAGGAGTGTAAGTTCCCTGCCGTTGCGCTCATGGAATCATTGCATCATAAGCAGGGCTCTTTTTGTAGATAAAGCCCAGCAGGAACTTATTAGCATAATAGACCACACCCAACAGCAGGAACTCATTAGCATATTAGGCCACACCCATGAAAGCACAGCTCATTGGCATATTAGGCCACACCCCCATGTTACCAGAAGTGTGGTCATCCAGCCACACCCACCTTTTGCTTCTTATTCTGCTTACCTTGTTTGTTGTCAAAACCCAGGGCTTTTTGTTTGGAGCAGGAACTCCTTTGTATGCTAGGCCACACCCCCTAATTGTAGCGAATCCTAATGAGTTTCTGCTGTTGGGTGTGGCCTATTATGCTAATGAGTTCCTGCTGGGCGTGGCCAACTTGGGAGCCAGCCGGAACTCCGTTCCTGTGTGTTCCTGCCCCAAAATAGCCCTGGTCATAAGAGTTGGAAGGATGAAATATCTGATGTTGTTGTCTAAGAGGGAATCAAACTTTCTATTGAAATGGTTTCCTTTTCTAGAATTTATATTCAACGTTGACTCTGCTAAGTTCAAGTTTCCTCAAAAGTACTATGAAGTTTTTCATCGCATGTAAACTTATCTGAACAGAGTTTCTACATTTATTATTATCTTATCTAATTCTACTGTTGATAACTGTTCTCACTGTATTTTGTTCTTTTTACTGCTTAAAAATAAAAAAAACCCTTTAAATCAAATAAAAAAAGAGTTGGAAGGGACCTCCAGGGTCATCTAGTCCAACCCGCTGCAGAATGCAGGAAATTCACAAATACCCCCCCCCACACACACACACCCAGTGACCCCTGATCAATGCCCAGGAGAGTATAAGATGGAAAGGAGGGGGGGGGGAAATGGAACACGCTTTGGGTCCAGCCCATTGGGAAGAAAGGCAGGGTATAAATGAAGTGCAGGGGGGGGGGGGAATAGAATTACGCTGACCTTTCTGCCGGATGGAACACCAGACCATGACTATAAGGACGCAGATGACCAGGAAGACGAGGAGGGCCAAGATTCCCCCGACGATGGCGTAGGGCACGGAAGTCTGGGCTTCCACGATAGCCCCGGGGTCTGCAGAAGACAGGAAAAGGTTAATGGTCAGCAGCACCGCAGGGGTGGTGGGGAGAGGGGTGCCCTCCATGAGCTTCACTCCTCGCTAGGGGGAAGGCGAAAGGGGGTTCAGCCTCTCTAGTCTCCGGCTCTCCAGCTGCTGGAGGGGTGGGCCATCAACTGCTTTATCCAGCAAGCCACTATCACAGCGGAGATCAGCCTAAGAACCGAAGTCTCCAACCGTTCTGAGCCTGTGGGCACCTTTGGGGTTCTGAAACGGGGTTGCTGGGCGCAAAGACAAGATGGCCGCCACAGGGGGCGGAGCCATCCACGAAACATCAATCAGTGTTCCCTCTAAGCTGAGTTAGTGTGAGCTAGCTCACAGTTTTTTAGCCTCCAGCTCACACATTTTTGTCTCAGCTCAGGAGGGATGGCTTTAGAGCAAACGAATTTATGCAGTAGCCAAATCCCTCGCTCACAGCTTTAATGCCAGCAGCTCACAAATTAGGATTTTTGCTCACAAGACTCCACAGCTTAGAGGGAGCATTGGCAAGGTTATGCATAATGCTAACAGTAACTTTTCAATGTTTCAGACGGAAGCTCTGTTTAACGCGTCAGATCATATACGGTTCCTTTTGTGCATTTTGTCACTTTGATTACGTTATGAAGCTTTTCTTGGGCCCCTACGAGTTTTTTTTTTAAATAGACATGTGTACTTTCAGCTATACTTATTGATGTTTTTAACTTTTGGCCCCTTACTGGTTTTTCGAAACTTGGGAGTTTTTGGCTCTCGCTCAAATGGTTTAGTTTCTCTTTCCATTTTTTTTCGTGGGTGAGCTCTTTAAAACGAACATATTGCTTGAAAATATTTCCCTGTATACGCACCGCTTACTTCCAGTCGCACAGTGAAGATCCTTGTGCTGGGGGGGGGGGCAGCTGCTGCCGAAGCAACATTTCTTAAATTTAAAAAAAAATCGTATTTTTTTGGGTATTTTTCTTGTGTGCATGTGAGTGTGCATGCGCACCTGGAAGTTCTGGCGACCTCTGGTGACTGACCCCCTACTGGGGGCCTGGAGGATATTCAGAGAGGCAGCTTGAAATTTGCCTGCCCCCGCCTCCCGACAGCTGGTATTCCAAGGAAGTCCCCCAATCCAAGTACTTGCCAGGGTCGGCCCTGCTTAGCTTCCGAGATCTGACGAGATTGGGCTTGTCTGGGCTGTCCGGGTGAGGAGCCAAAGCAACATTTAATAATAATTAAAAAAAACACTTGGCAAGTGCCAGGAAAGGTGTGGACCAGTGTTCCCTCTAAGCTGAGTTAGTGTGAGCTAGCTCACAGTTTTTTAGCCTCCAGCTCATACATTTTTGCCTCAGCTCAGGAAGGATGGCTCCAGAGCAAACTAATTTGTTCAGTAACCAAATCGCTCGCTCACAACTTTAATGCCAGTGGCTCACAGAGTAGAATTTTTGCTCACAAGACTCCACAGCTTAGAGGGAACATTGGTGTGGACAAGTGCCGAGCCCTTTTTTTATAAGGCATGGATTTCCCTAACCTCATGAATATAAGAATGCAGGTGGGGCCTCACAGACCTCAATGCTCCTCCGTGCAAAAGGGGTGGGGGGCAGAGTCCTTAGAGCGGAGCAGACTAGACAGGTATGCCAGAACTTTTCTTTCAGACATGCTGATTTTCTAGCTGAGGACAGGTGAACCTTGACCTGCAGTCTGATGAGGAAGAGCCCACTAAACCTCTAGCTATGATGGGGGTGGGGTGGGGGCTCTGCCCCCTTTCCTAAAGGCACAGCCCCAGAAGAATTTCTTCTGTAAATGCTTTATAAAATCATTTTAAAACTTGTTTTAAAAGGTGTTCGCTCCTTTAAGCAGAGTGGGGTGCTATCGTTGACTCGTTCCCGCACTGAGCAAGGGGGTTGGAGTAGGTGACCTCTAGGATCCCATCTAACTCTGTGTCAAGAAACTGGTCTCCTTTAAGAGAGGTTTTTTCTGCCCAAGTGTTAGCGTTCTTGACTACAAGCGTCATCACCCCCACCTAGATAGGTATGCCAGACTAGATAGGTATCCCAGAACTTTTCTTTCAGACATGCTTGTGATCAAATCAAATCAAATTTATTGTGACGGCCAATTGACCAGCAGTGCAGTAAAACAATACAATAATAAACAAGTACAATCACCAACACTCACAGACAATAATACCATCATAGTACCAGCCACAGACCCCTATTAAAATGATAATTCTATTCCCTTGTCTAAAATTCTCTTCAGTCTGTGTCAAGAAACTGGTCTCCTTTAAGAGAGTCTTTCTGCCCAAGTGTTGGCATTCTTGACTACAAGAGTCATCACCCCCACCTGCCGGCTTGTGATTAGAATTGCTGCTTCGGCTGGCAGAAGTGATTAACTTGCAGCGGCTGCAAACTGTCGTCTAAAGTGGTCAACAGCTTGCAGTTCAGAGACCCCTCCTGGGAACAGCTTTCTATTGGCTCAATGGCTTTTCCTTCTGCACTGAGAACTTCAGCCCCACCAGGGGAAATAAAATTGCCCCACAAGCCACAAAATCCTGGCTACGGGCCTGGAGCCCAAGTACAAGGGCTCTGCTCTTCTTGGGAACCAGGGCTTGAACCAGGCGCCACCGGACGGGCGGCGGAGTTCTCGGCTAAAGTGAGCCCGGCTGGGGGGTGCCGGCACTGTGGAGGCTAAAAAAGCCAGAGCGGCGGACAGCCGCGTTTGCTTACCATATACCACCAGCACGTACTGGTCCGATGAGCGGCCGTGTTTGTTCTCCACCTGGCAGGAGTAGGTGCCGTTATCCAGCATGCTGAGGCTGGGGATGGTCAACGTGTCGCCCTCTATCAGGGCCCGCTCCGGCAAGGAGTCGTTTGCTCGGTTCCAGTTGATCCTCGTGGGGCTAGGGAGGGAAGGCAGAGTAGCCACGGGTTACGCCTTTCACCTCTCCCCGCGCCCCCTACTTCCAATGCGCCCCCTTCCGGACCACATCCCTCCCCTCTTCTAGTCTACAACCACCCCTGCTCTCCTCCCCACTGTGGCTTCCTCGCTTCCCTTCAAGGTTATTTGCAGCCAGCGCTGCCAGATCCAGTGATGGATGGGAGACAGGGCTGGGCGGCTGGATCAAGGGGCGCTGGAGTAATAACTCCGCTCGGGAATTGTATCCATCAGTCAGGCCGGCCGGGGAGAGAGGTGTGGGGGGGGCAAGGACGAGTTTTGCCCAGCGTGGAACAGAGGCGGCAAACAGGGCAACGGCGCCTTCGGGAGTTGTGCAGATGACAAAATTTCAGCAGGTGCTCTCTTGGCATGTCCCAGCGGCGAGCAAAACCGAAGCCGCTGGAATTCCCTTTGCCATGCAACCGTTATAACGACAGCAGCCCCGCCACCACATCGGCAGTGTTCCCTCTAAGCTGAGTTAATGTGAGCTAGCTCACAGTTTTTTAACCTCCGGCTCACACCTTTTTGTCTTCGCTCAGGAAGGATGGCTCCAGGGCAAACTAATTTAGGCAGTAGCCAAATCTCTCGCTCACAACTTTAATGCCCGGAGCTCACAAAGTAGAATTTTTGCTCACAAGACCCCACAGCTTAGAGTGAGCATTGCACATCGGTCCTAAGAAAATTTGCTGGAGAGTTTCTGAGAGTTGCGTTGCTTTCTCTGAAGTAGGTGCAGATTTCTTTTGGCCCCGCCCTAGGTTGTTTCTGCTCAAAGAGATGCTGAGAGTTTTTGAACCCATTTATCAGAGAGGAATGGTATGAGAGGACACAGCACGAATGGTAGCTCCTTTTAGAACAGCTGCTATTGGAAAGAAAAGGTTGATCCCTGTTTCCATCTCCTGCCTCCGAAAGAAACAATAAAAAGCCCAGTAGCACCATCAAGATTAACAAACTTTATTGTAGCATAAGCTTTTGAGAAACACAGCTCTCTTCGACAGATCTGATGAAGAGACCTGTGTTTCTCAAAAGCTTATGCTACAATAAAGTTTGTTAGTCTTAAAGGTACTACTGGGCTTTTTACTATTTTGCAGCAACAGACTAACACGGCGAATTCCTCTGGCTCCAAAAGAAGTGCAGTTCTGAGACCCCAAACTCTGTTCATGCGTACCCCACATCTCACCTAGTTTTTGCTCACTTGGAAATTTTAGCATTTCTTATCTTCAGAGATTTGAGGGGGGGGACACCATACAGAAACGCATTTTACTCTAAAGGCCTGTGCGTGCATCTGTGTCCCAGCCTCCCACCTCTCCGGGAGCCTTTGAACATCTGAGAAGCGAAGTTGCCGGCGAAATTTCGCCTTCCAGCAATATCAGAAGCCGCACTCTGAGGCTCCGCCTTAGACGAAAACATCTGAGCAATTTCGAAGGGAATGAAAACAGTTCCCTGTTAGATTGGCGTGATTGCTCAAGGCGGGGAGAGGGATGACATATCCCTGGTTAGGATCCTAGAAGGGTTTGGTGCTGCTGGAATGTGCCATCAAGTCACAGCAGACGTATGGGAACTCTGTAGGGTTTTCTTGGGAAGAAATATTCAGGAGTGGTTTGCCATTGCCTGGCTCTGCATAGCCAGTTTGGTGTACTGGTTAGGAGTGTGGACTCTAATCTGGGAGAACTGGGTTTGATTCCCCACTCCTCCAAATGCAGCTGCTGGTGAGACCTTGGGTCAGTCACAAGTTCTCTCAGAGCTGTCCTCTCTAATCTGGGAGACCCGGGTTTGATTCCCCACTTCTCCACATGCAGCTGCTGGTGAGACTTTGGGTCAGTCACAAGTTCTCTCAGAGCTGTCCTCTCTAATCTGGGAGAACCAGGTTTGATTCCTCCACATGCAGCTGCTGGTGAGACCTTGGGTCAATCACAAGTTCTCTCAGAGCTGTCCTCTCTAATCTGGGAGAACCGGGTTTGATTCCCCACTCCTCCACATGCAGCTGCTGGTGAGACTTTGGGTCAGTCACAAGTTCTCTCAGAGCTGTCCTCTCTAATCTGGGAGACCCGGGTTTGATTCCCCACTCCTCCACATGCAGCTGCTGGTGAGACCTTGGGTCAGTCACAAGTTCTCTCAGAGCTGTCCTCTCAAGAGAAGTTCTCCAGAGAGCTCTCTCAGCCCCCACCTACCTCACATGCAATGCTCCCTCTAAGCTGTGGAGTCCTGTGAGCAAAAATCCTACTTTGGGAGCCACTGGCATTAAAGCTGTGAGCGAGCGATTTGGCTGCTGCCTAAATTCGTTTGCTCTGGAGCCATCCTTCCTGAGCTAAGACAAAAATGCGTGAGCCGGAGGCTAAAAAACTGAGCCAGCTCCCACTAACTCAGCCAGTTTGGTGTAGTGATTAAGTGTGCACACTCTAATCTGGGAGAACCGGGTTTGATTCCCCACTCCTCCACTTGCACCTGCTGATGTGACCTTGGGTCAGTCACAAGCTCTGGCACAGCTGTCCTTGAAAAAGAGCAGTTTGTGTCAGAGCTCTCTCAGCCCCACCCACCTCACAGGGTGTCTGTTGTGGGGAGGGGAAGGGAGAGGAGTTTGTAAGCCGCTCTGAGACACCTATGGGTAGTGAAGGGCGGGGTATAAATCCAATCTCTTCTTCTTCTTCTTAGCGGGAATTTTTCTCACAGGGCGTCTGTTGTGGGGAGGGTAAGGGAAAGGAGATTGTAAGCCACTCTGAAACTCCTTCTGGTAGTATAAATCCTATCTCCTCCTCCTCCTTCTTAGAGACCCTGATATTCCTTGGTGGACTCTCATTCAAGCACTGACCAGAGCTGAACCTGCTTCGCTCCTGATATCAGGTTTGCCCGGGAACATCCCGGTCAGGGCAAGAAGGATTTAGACACAAGCTATGCAAGGTGTCGGCTTTCTGCCGCTGAAATTCCAGATGTGCTATTCGGGTCCCAAAGGCATCTTTGTGGGGAAAGGTGAGTTTAAACACACACACACACAGTCACGCTGTACTGTTCCCCTGGTTAAAAAAAGGCACTCGTAGGTTGCTTTAAATCCAGCCGGACGGCAGGGGACCTTTTCAGTTGAGGACCTGGCACAGGTGGAAGAGTTAACCACTATCCCGACCTCTTCATTTACAAACTGTTAACTGATATAAATGCAGCTTGTTAAGCTACGCCTCCCCAGAGTTAACGGAAGAAGAATACATTACACAAAATATTAGGAATAGAACACTCAACAGCGCAACCCTAAGTAGATTTACATCCCCCCGCGCCGTTCATTTGACTCCGAAGGGTATTGACCAGCTTAGGACACCACTGCTAGTCAACTCATTGATCCCATCAGTCGATCATAGGGTCACAGAAACAGAGAGTTGGAAGGAGCCCTACAGGCCATCTAATCCACCCCCCCTGCTCAATGCGGGATCAGTCTAGAGCAGTGATGGCGAACCTTTTAGAGACCGAGTGCCCAAACTGCGACCCAAAACCCACTCATTTATCGCAAAGTGCCAATACGGCAATTTAACCTGAATACTGAGGTTTTACTTTAGAAAAAACAACTCATACATTAACTTCAGATGATCCAAACAAAGTAAGGAAAGCAATCCCAAATGCTTTCATTTACTTAAAATTATTTGGCAGAGAATCCGACACTTTAATGATGGTCTGGGCCTGGCTGAGGCGATGGCACGCGTGCCCACAGAGAGGGCTCTGAGTGCCACCTCTGGCACCCGTGCCATAGGTTCGCCACCACTGGCATAGAGCATCCCTGACAAGGGTTTGTCCAGCCGCTGCTTCAAGACTGCCAGGGAGGGGGAGCTCACCACCACCCTGGGCAGCTGATTCCACTGCTGCAGAACTCTTACTGTAAGGAAGTTTTTCCTAAGATCCAGCCGGTATCAATACTCCCTCTAAGCTGTGGAGTTTTGTGAGCAAAAATTCTACTTTGTGAGCAAAAATTCTACTTTGTGAGCTACTGGCATCAAGTGTTGTGAGTGATCGATTTGGCTACTGCATAAATTCCTTTGCTCTGGAGCCGTCCTTCCTGAGCTGAGACAAAAATCTGTGAGCCGGGGGCTAAGGAACCTGTGAGCTAGCTCACACTAACAGCTTAGAGGGAACACTGGCCGGGGACCTTCCCGCCCTTAATTTACACCCATTCTTGCGAGTCCTGTCCTCTGCTGCCAACAAAAAGATATCCCCAATTCATCAGATTTTTTCCTCTTTTTTTAAAAAAGCATTTCAATTATTTTAAAGCACGTGGTTCCAAAATACACACAAAGACACATGCGCGCAGGCAGCTGACGCTGTCCTAGAAGAGACATTCCTCCTCTCTCACACTTCTGAGATTCTGAGATAAGGCTCTCTGCAATGTGTGAACACATCCCCTAGAATCCGAGAAGGCATGCGTACCCAAACAATTATTGGCACGCAGAGTAATACAGATGCAGCCAATTAGAAGAAGAAGATAAGAGATTGGATTTAGACCCCGCCCTTCACTACCCAAGGGAGTCTCGGAGCGGCTTACAAACTCCTTCCCCTTCCCACAACAGACCCCCTGTGAGCAATGCTCCCTCTAAGCTGTGGAGTCCTGTGAGCAAAAATCCTACTTTGTGAGCTACTGGCATTAAAGTTGTGAGCAAGCGATTTGGCTACTGCATAGATCAGTTTGCTCTGGAGCCATCCTTCCTGAGCTAAGACAAAAATGTGTGAGCCGGAGGCTAAAAAGCTGTGAGCTAGCTCGCACTAACTCAGCTTAGAAGGAACACTGCCTGTGAGGTACGCGGGGCTGAGAGAGCTCTGACGGAAACTGCTCTTTTTCAAGAACAGCTGTGCCAGAACTATGGTTTGCCCAAGGTCATCCAGCCAGGTGCAAGTGGAGGAGTGGGGAATCAAACCCGGTTCTCCCAGATTAGAGTCCACGCACTTAACCACGACAACAAACCGGCTCTCAATTAGTACCGGCTAGACCGCCTGACCACTGCCACTATCTCATCCCCCCCCCCCCAAGACTCTTTTGATACTTGGGGCCACCGCTGAGGTGAAGAAACAGCCGTTGCAAGTTCCAGTGTTCCCTCTAAGCTGAGTTAGTGTGAGCTGGCTCACCGTTTTTTAGCCTGCAGCTCACATATTTTTTGTCTTCGCTCAGGAAGGGAGGGCTCCAGAGCAAACTAATTTCTGCCATAGCCAAATCACTCACTCAGAACTTTAATGCCAGCAGCTCACAAAGTAGAATTTTTGCTCACAAGACTCCACAGCTTAGAGGGAGCATTTGCAACCCGTACTTGGATCTGCGGCCCAGAGGAGAAGTGTGTCCCTCCTCTCTCTGCCACAGTCCATAAGCATTGTAAGACACCACAGTTTTCTGGAAGGCATTTTCGGAGAAGAAACTACTGGCGATGGAGCAGGAAACCAGATGGGAGCTGACCAGCATGTTTGGAGGAGTGGGAAATTCACGCCTTTGCTTAAAGTACTTGCTGCAAGCCAGTTTGAAGGTTTGTACAGAAAGAAAGGTGGGATGCAGAATGCTTCAAAGAAAGAGAATCCAGATAATCAGTCAACGAAGGAGGAGGAGGAGATTGGATTTATACCCCACCCTTCGCCACCCAAAGGAGTCTCAGAGCAGCTTGCAATCTCCTTCCCCTTCCCCTCCCCACAACAGACACCCTGTGAGGTAGGTGGGGCCGAGAGAGCTCTTTCAAGATGCTCCTGAGAGAAGAGCCTTGAGAGAACTTGTGACTGACCCAAGGTCACACCAGCAGCTGCACGGGGAGGAGCAGGGAATCAAACCCGGTTCTCCCAGATTAGAGTCCGCGCTCCTAACCATTACACCAAACTGGCTTTGATAGTCCACTGCAAGTATCATTTCCTTCATTTGAAACGTTTAAGTAAAGGTAAAGATTCCCTTGCTCAAAAGCCAGTCCAATCCGACTCTAGGGTTGTGGTGCTCATCTCCGTTTCAAAGCCGAAGAGCCAGCGCTGTCCAAAGACATTTCCGTGGTCATGTGGCCGGCATGACTAAACAACCAAGGCGCACGGAACGCTGTTACCTTCCCACCGAAGTGGTCCCTATTTATCTACGTGCAATTTCTTGCTTTCGAACTGCTAGGTTGGCAGGAGCTGGAACTAGAGACGGGAGCTCACTCCGTCATGCGGCACCTGGGTCTCGAACTGCTGAACTACTGACCTTCCACAGCCTGCAGTTCAGCGTCTTAACCACTTGAGCCACCGCAGCTCCATTGAAATGTTTACCCGGTCACAAAACACAGCTTTTCTTGGCACAGAATTGGGGGAAGGGGTTGTTTATTTAAGTGCAAGGGTACAGTGGCGGGAGGGAAGGCAACATGGGATAGCCCAATCCCGTCAGATCTTGGAAGCTAAGCAGGGTCGGCTCTTGGAAGGGAGACCACCAAGGAAGACCCTGCAGAGGAAGGCGATGGCCGACCGCCTCTGCTTCTCGCTTGCCTTGAGAGCCCCTTACCGGGGTCGCCATAGGCCGGCTGTGACCTGACGCCGCTCGCCACACGCACGCGGGTACAGTGGCAGTGCCCTAATCCTCTACAGCATGAGAAGAAGGTGGACCTCAGATCCTATGTAGATCCCATTTCAATGACAGCTCCCCACCCCCCACCCCATCCTGGGTAAGTACTTACGGTGGGTTGCCGTTGACGGCACAAGTCAGGACTAAGGTGTCTCCTTCCCGCATCACCCCTTGGGGAGGGCGGATCCTCACCGTGGGCGAATCTGAGTGGGGGGGAGGGGGGGAGGACAGAGAGAAGGTAAACAAGAGGCTCCGTTACAATCGAGCAGCCTGCAGACGAACCTTCGGTATTCCACATGCAGGAGCAGGCACTGTGGTATTCTAAGCAATTTTTAAAAAATAAAATAAACACTCCTTTGAGATCTATGGACGATTGCCAACTTCAGAAAGGAGCGTTTCGCCCAGATCTGATGCCAAATTCCTCCCTGCTCCGTCTTTTCTTTCCTAAGAGGCACCTTGCGGCAAAAGGGAAGCGGGTTTGGGAAGGACCGAATGGGCTCGTTACCTATTTTGTAGTCCGCGTGAAACAAAATGTAATTGAAGTAAGTGCTGTATTTTTAAAAAGAGACTTCAAGACAATAAAGGGGGGGGGGGGGAAAGGCAACAACAC